GTACTCTATCATCTCCTCCCTAAGCCTAAGTTTTGCATACCAGTGCACTCCAACAGTGCCTCAGTGAAGTGAAGCTGAGCTGTTCAATCCGGCACCATTTTAAACCCCTCCCCACAGTGCCTATAAGCCCTTCCATGAAACCCTTCGACTGTCACACCCTAGGTTCATCTATTGACCATTCCCATTACTACTATCTCTTTCAGAAGCTCTGCCCATCCCAGTCAGGTCTCTGTTTGGAGTTCTACGAGAGTGGACGTGAGCTTATCCTTGCCCAATTGAAAAAGACTACCATCGAAGATGATGTAGAAATCTATGAGTATTTGCAAGTTGGAAGTGGTAAGTTCATTAAAGTGGTCCCCCTCGAAAAACTGAATGGTACTGTTCACCTACTCAGACGAATATGCATATCGTACCCTTGGTAATTGGTCGATGAACGGTGGTCTGCGCCTGCACTCGCTCTATCGCAGTTTCTTCGACGGACCAGTGGAGTCGAAATGTCAACCGCCTATGTGCAAGTGCTTCCTTGACGGTGATTTCCTTCAGGTAAGAAGAACTTTGCTCGGAGTTTCACCGAAAAAGTGGATTACTGTAATTCCAGCGACCACTGGATTCATTCGTCTATGCGTCCGAACAGGTCGACACCGATAGAAGCACTGGATCGTACGTTAGACGACAGCCCGCTTTTGGAGCCGAGAAAGTCGGCTATCATTCGGTGAGTACCACTAGATGAGCTGAATGCGCTTTGCTATAATACTGATCTAGAGAGACCAAGAAATATGTTCAGGTTTTCGAGCATCTATCCATGGGACAGTGGCGTCAATACACACACAACTTCATCCTGTTAGGAACGATCTCAGTCCTGACCATCGTGGCTATTGCAGTACTGGTGCTCGGTAAGAAAACGTTATCGTTATATGAAGTATTGACGACCACAAATGGGCAAGGCACTTGGTCGTTAGGGGCGTGTCATCAGTAGGTTATATTCTCTCAGCCAGCTTAAAGGCAATGGGCACAAGTGCCGGGGGCGGGCGGTTGCTGTCAGCGTCATTTACAAGAGGGCATTTGGTTATACCCCACTCAGCCTTTCCACCGATGACCTTGGCAGTGATTGCCCGCCCCTGCGATTGTGTCCACTCAGGGCGGGGGGGGGGGTATAACACACGTGAAGCGGGAAAAACCGCAAGGAAAATACGACCCCCCTGTGCACTAGATATCCCCAAACTTTCTACCAATTTTTCCGGAATTTCCCGAAAATTCTCCTACTTTTACCCGAAAATTTTCGCTGTTGAGGGGGTTATATAGTACATGAAACAGGAAAAACCACGAAAAGCCAGCAACCTCTCTCAAAAGGTCAGTAGGGAAAGACCACCCCCTCCTCCCAGCAGTGACCACATACAACCCCCTCTCTCAGCGACGAAATGCTCCTCTGCTGGGGGAAACCCCAACAACGATGAGTCCTCTGCCTTTGTAGGCATCTGCAAGGCAAAAGCAGCATACAAGGAAACGGGCTCACTGCGAAACCAAAATCCACATTCTGCTGACATCCCCGTCTGACTTCAGTGGAAACAACTGCAGTGTTTTCAAAGTACTGTACGAAAAAGAGGCCAGTCTTCAATACGGGGAAGGAAGCGGTTTTTGGGAAGGCGAGATAATCAACACAGTACGAGTTAATTGGTACCAAATATGATCCTGATCAGATATGCTCCGTGCTTGCAATGGTGGGGAGCCTACAAATGCGCGTCCCTCTAGAGCGCCACCTCCTCTTCATAAAAAGCCGCACTAACGAGGTAGGCAGATGATTGGTCTGAGTATCCACCCACTTCTCCGCCCTTCGGTTTCAGCGGAATTCGCCCATGAAACGATATGCTAATAAACTGATGACATTTTCAGTGCTGGTGAAGCTCTACCTCCGTGTTGTCAAGGGGAACCAATCACTTGGTATATCGCTTTTGGTTGGCATCATCATCCTCTACATCACTGCTTAACTTCTTCGTCTTTGACGCCACCGACTTGGTTAGTCTTTTCTATAATGAACTCCATTAGCAGAATAAACAGTCGTAATCTTTTCAATTGGGGCGTGTGAATGGGCGTGAATTAGAGCCATGGCAGCCTCTTCCATCAATTACTGCAGGCTTAGGACCCATCAATTAGTGCACGAATGGTGACATTATCTGCTCCGAGATTGCTCTGCTGCACGGTTCAAAGGCACGATCTGCAATAAGGAGCGTAAGTGTTGGCGGCGAAATGTGGAGGAGAAGTTGCCGGGTGACTCGTCCGTGAGGAGAAAGTGCCATAGGGAAACGGCGAAGACATCTTTAATATAACTCCTTATGCCTAAAACAGTTGCACGGGTGAAATGCCAAAAAAATCCGCTTGTTGGGGCGCCTTCAGTTTGCATTTCCTTCGGATGAACCCTGTTAAAAAGGATGGGGAGTGGTGGTGGTTCAGTGTGTGTTTAGACACCTCAAACTTGGGTAATTAAACTTTAATGTATACTTAGAAAAAAGAGCACGAATAGAACGAATACCGGTGACATTATATTCAATGTAACATTAAAGCTAGAACAAATAACATAGCTTCAAGGTTAGCAGGAATGAACAAATTGAACAACTCAACTCGAATAGCCAAGAAAACGAAGAGAAGCGGCAGAGGTAACATAAGCAAGGAAGGATATGTGGAGAATCGAAACTATGTACAAGTTTCATCTGTGGATGATGCGCTGATCATAAACGCCCGTATCAAAAGAAAATATAGAAAACATCTAAGAAGAAGCTAAGGAGGTTTTAGGCATCGTGTTCGCATAATCGCAATCAATAGGAGATCTGAAGGAGGGAGCACAAGAGAAGAAGCAAAGTGCAAACTGAGAGCGGCTGGACTGCTCCCGCTATTTATAGCCCGTTTTGGCGCGCTCCCGCGCGATCGCGAGGATTTGATCCGCGCCTATTGATCTGTGATCGGAGAATCGCGGTGTTTCCGCGATACTCCGCCCCCTTTTGGACGAGTCGACATGGGCTCAGAGAGCTCTGCGCAGTTCTTCCAGACGTCTCAGGATCTGATCGGCGGTGATCTCGTAATCGCGTTTTCGAGCCAGAATATCCAAGGACTCTTCTGGTAGCGTACATACTGCGGAGGCGTGTCCGGCTTGGTACCTCATTTCGTCTCTTACATGTTTGAATTTCGACTTCACGAGTGTGCCCCTCGTCCGTGGAGGGCCCATCGAGTGACGGAGTATTAGAGTCATTTATTGGTACGTGAGGTTGGGCGGGTGGACTACATGGATCAAGGTTAGATACAGATCCAGTCCGCCCCTCGTCCGTGGAGGCCACGAGGACGGAGATTAGAGTCCATTTATTGGTGCGTGAGGTTGGGCTGGACTACATGGATCAAGGTTAGATACAGATCCAGTCCGCCCCTCGTCCGTGGAGGGCCCATCGAGGGACGGAGTATTAGAGTCATTTATTGGTGCGTGAGGTTGGGCTGGACTACATGGATCAAGGTTAGATACAGATCCAGTCCGCCCCTCGTCCGTGGAGGGCCCATCGAGGGACGGAGTATTAGAGTCATTTATTGGTGCGTGAGGTTGGGCTGGACTACATGGATCAAGGTTAGATACAGATCCAGTCCGCCCCTCGTCCGTGGAGGGCCCATCGAGGGACGGAGTATTAGAGTCATTTATTGGTGCGTGAGGTTGGGCTGGACTACATGGATCAAGGTTAGATACAGATCCAGTCCGCCCCTCGTCCGTGGAGGGCCCATCGAGGGACGGAGTATTAGAGTCATTTATTGGTGCGTGAGGTTGGGCTGGACTACATGGATCAAGGTTAGATACAGATCCAGTCCGCCCCTCGTCCGTGGAGGGCCCATCGAGGGACGGAGTATTAGAGTCATTTATTGGTGCGTGAGGTTGGGCTGGACTACATGGATCAAGGTTAGATACAGATCCAGTCCGCCCCTCGTCCGTGGAGGGCCCATCGAGGGACGGAGTATTAGAGTCATTTATTGGTGCGTGAGGTTGGGCTGGACTACATGGATCAAGGTTAGATACAGATCCAGTCCGCCCCTCGTCCGTGGAGGGCCCATCGAGGGACGGAGTATTAGAGTCCCCCTCGTCCGTGGAGGGCCCATCGAGGGACGGAGTATTAGAGTCATTTATTGGTGCGTGAGGTTGGGCTGGACTACATGGATCAAGGTTAGATACAGATCCAGTCCGCCCCTCGTCCGTGGAGGGCCCATCGAGGGACGGAGTATTAGAGTCATTTATTGGTGCGTGAGGTTGGGCTGGACTACATGGATCAAGGTTAGATACAGATCCAGTCCGCCCCTCGGGCTTCAACTAAAGCGCTCGCACAACTCGATCCGTTAAGCCTGCTCCGTAGATTTTTAACTATGACAGGAGACTCCTCCTGTGCCGATTGACCTTGATCAATATCAGCGCCATCTTCTAGTAGTTCTTCGATAGTTCTTGTAGGCAATTGTTTGAACGTTTACAAAACTGTTTTCATCATCTAGCTCGATTTCAACACCGAACTTCTGTTCTAACTGGCTCTTTACGATATGATTCATTTTCAGTTGAAGTTTCTGATAGAGACACATAATTTTGGTTTGGGTGCACTCTGAGCGGCTGGACCTGGTGCAGATTGTTTACCATATATCGCCGAAAATGGGTAGTGAGGCTCTCCGCACTTCTGTTAACAGAACATTCGTTGACGTACTGGTCCCAAATAATCCTTTGGGGAAAAGTGTATTCCCACATGCTTCCGCCATTTGACTGTATAAAAAAGTCCATATTTCCGTTTCATCTTGACGACTGTAATAGGTTCTCTTCTTGAGACTGCTGCATCCTTGCGTTCCTCCACAGAACACGTGATATATAGATAATCCTAATAACGCACTAAAGCACTGATGAAGACTCAACTGACTATCTTTATTGGTGACCAAAAGAAAACAAGATTCGCATTAAGCCTATGTGTTCACAACAGCAAGGCAACTTGGCAGCTAACAACGATGATGAACTCCAAATCTGTCGTTCCTCCAAAGAACACCGAGTATATGGATAATCCTAACAATGCACTCAAAAACCACTGATAACGACTCGACTGACTATCTTTGTAGTAAAAAAAGGGTAAGCACGATCCAAGTAAAGCCTTGGTGTTCACAAGGGCAAGACAGCTAACACCAATAATAAACACCAACCATACACTCGAAAATCGAATTTCAGCTGGTCCTTCATGAGAAATGGGTCCGCGACGTACTCCTACATCATTTTTATCGCAAATGCCGTAACCCAGTAACTGAACTCTCAGACTGGTAATTAAACTTCAATGTATACTTAGAAAAAAGAGCACGAATGGAACGAATACCGGTGACATTATCTTCAATGCAACATTAAAGCTAGAACAATAACATAGCTTCAAGGTTAGCAGGAATGAACAAATTGAACAACTCAACTCGAATAGCCAACAACGAAGAGAAGCGGCAGAGGTAACATAAGCAAGGAAGGATATGTGGAGCGAATAACACGAAAAACAATAAGTGAACAACGATAATATAAAGCAAATCCTAAATTAAGGGATGATGATGAGTAGCACTGAGCATAAGAATGGTCGTGTCGCGTCATCGCATAAAGAAAATATAGAAAACATCTAAGAAGAAGCTAAGGAGGTTTTAGGCATCGTGTTCGCATAATCGCAATCAATAGGAGATCTGAAGGGGGAGCACAAGAGAAGAAGCAAAGTGCAAACTGAGAGCGGCTGGACTGCTCCCGCTATTTATAGCCCGTTTTGGCGCGCTCCCGCGCGATCGCGAGGATTTGATCCGCGCCTATTGATCTGTGATCGGAGAATCGCGGTGTTTCCGCGATACCTGTGACCCCACAAGAGACAATGTTGCAACCATTTCGTGCTACTTGTACTACTACGGTAACATCGCTTTTGGCTGGAAGGCAGACTTTGGAGGCGGGGTCCAGGCGGAGTCACTGAAAAAGGGAGATACCACTGCAGCAGTTTTGCAGCATAACTCCAATACTTTACATCTTTCGGCGTAAAACTGGCACAGGGTTGTTCATCGTGGACCACACTACCTTCCCATAACGTTTTCTGCATTTTCATAGGTCATCGCGGGTCCGTTCCTTTGAGAATCCTCAGAGGTGGTCTTATCATGAAACACTGGAGAGGGCGGAGGGTAAAGCGCCAGCATTCAGTTTTGTGATAGGTCTGCATCAATATAAAGGGACATTGAGATGGGTCAAGGCTCAATGAAAAACAATTTCCCGACTGTTGATTTTTTTTCTCTTTCCAGCAAATTGCTACTTCACTCCTTCCCCAAATCTCCTCGTTCCCGCTCCACGACAAAATTATGTGAAAAGTTGGGAGAAAAATGGCACAGTAATTTCCTCTGCAACCCTGGGCGT